ACTTGCCTTACCAACCTTCCTCCTCCAGTCTGCCAGAGTCGATCTTCTTAGCAGCTGTGTGAATGTCGCTCTGATTTGTTTGTTCATCCATTCCTTATCTTTGAAGGCCTTGTCATTCCTCCCTTGCCAAATTACTGCACAAGCAACTGCCCTGGCCGTTTGTGCCACATAACCCCATCCTATGCTGATATTGCTGCCTTCGTGAACTCCTCCCAACAATGTTCATTCCCTCGTCCAAGGAAACGCACCTTCCGTACATTTGTCCCAGAACCTAATCCACCACTTTCATATTCTGCCTGAGGCTGGGCAATCCCACCACAGGTGAATCGTAGACTCGAACGCCCATTCACACCTCTTACATTTCAGTTCCACCTTTACGCCTCTTTCCGTCAACCATACAGCGGAGGGAGTCGACACCATAGACAAGAGCCACAACAGAGATGCTTGTCATTGTCAAGGGATCAGTTTTAACTGTTCCCAGCAGGATATTAGTGCTCTCTCAATTTCCACTGGGTCTATACTTAACAATTGTCCCCATCTTGACCTTGCCAACGTCGTTGGATGTTTCTGTGGAATGATCAACTTGTAACCAATCCTCTGTGTGTAGTTCAGCAGACAGACATTCCTCCCTCTACCTTGTGATCTCCATTCCCACATAGCTGGGTCAATTTTCAGCACTGACACTAGTTTTTCTTTCGCAAACAACACAGTCTTGTTTCCTGTCACTTTTACGACTCTAGTCTGGGACAGGGTTATACCCAGTTTTGGTACTCCTTCCTTCTTTCCTTCTACCGTTTCTCCATCTCCGCTTGTTTGCCATCCCTGGAAAATTCTTTTCCCATCGGATTGAATTTCTAGCAGCTCCCAGAGTGTTCTTCCTTCTGGCTGCTCTTGGACGTACCATGTACCTGGCGGGTCAACCGTTTCCGGGGATAGAATCCTCTTCCAGTCTTGCGGGATTGCCCTGATCACTTCCTCCATTCTGTTTCCGATATTCCTTGCTTGTCCCAACTTTTTCTGTAGTGACTCTTTTGAAATCCATGATTATGAGAAATTATCCCAGATATCTTCCAGTCTCAGTACTCCTCTCTCTATCCACGATCTACCGAAGCTTTGTGGTTGGGTATCGGCCTCGAACCACTGTCCATTCTCCTTCTTAATCCCCGGGTTTTCAAAAATTGGTTGTGAAAGGACTTCGCTTTTCATTTTATGGAAGACCCACACGTCTGGACGTAGCCTCTTCCATGCTTGCAGTATTGCCGCCCACACCGGAGACTTAACTCTTCTTCTCTGGTATGAGTAAAGCAATAGGCAAACCCAGACATCTTTTTTCCTCTCTAGATTCCACTCTTCGGCCAGAACTAATTCTGCTAGGTAGACCCAGTGAGGTGTCGACTCTTCCAAACATGCACGCACCACCCACTTGACTAGCATAGCTTCATTCTGTTTACACGGGTCCAGCATGCCCAAACCTCCTTCCTCCCTTGGCAGGCATAACATTTCTCATACTACCTTCGAGATAAAGGACTCCTCTTCTTTCGCATACGGCTTCCATATGAACCTTGCTGCTCTCCATCTAATTAGTCTGTACGTCGAGTCGCCTATCTTCCTTATCGCCCCCATAAACCACAATAAGGTGAACAAAGCGTCATTCAGCACCAGTGATCTACCGAAAATAGACAGGTGGGGCACCCTACCCCACAAAACAATTATGTGCAGCGACCTCTGTAGTAGGATATCATCTTGTGCAGCCGAACAGTCCAACAATGAAACTTGGACGTCCAAAAAACGTTCTGCCTTGTCTTTCCCTATTCGTTTCATTCCCCATTCCACCCTCAGATTATACCCCTCTGGCAGTAAGAAGACTGACTTGTGCCAGTTGATAGCTGCTTCTGACAAATCTAAAAACTCGTCTAAACACTTTTTTAACTCGTCCAGTGTTGTCGTTGTATTATTAGTTATCGCAAAAAGGTCGTCAGCAAGGGCCTTAACTTTATAAGATGAGAGGTCAGCCGACATTCCTCTGATTTGTGGGTGGGCTCTTATGTTGTTCAACATGACTTCGAACTGTACTGCAAACAACAGTGGCGCCAGGGGACAGCCCTGTCGCAGCGATCTGGAAAGCGGGAATTCCTCGGAAACTCGTCCGTTCATTATTACTGTCGCTGTCGACAGTGTGTACAAGGCTTTAGTAAATAGCATGAAATTCCCGCCGAAGTTCATCCATTGCAGCGTAGTCAGGACGTATGACCAGTTTACCCGGTCGTACGTCTTCTCCAAATCTAGCAACAATACTGCAATGTTTAGATTGTCCCGTTGAACAAGTTCCAACGTTTCCATTGTCGTCATGATGTTATCAAATATGGATCTGCCCCTCACAAACGTTGCTTGATCAGATTTCACTATCTCTGGAAGGTATCGACCAAGTCTCCTTGCTAGGACTTTTCTTAAAATCTTATATGAGACATTTAATATCGAAACTGACCTCCAATTTTTTATTTCGGCACGATCTCCTTTTTTGTACAGAACTGAGATTATTCCGCTACACATACTGCTTGCGAGACTTCCCCCTGATAAGATCCCGTTGTAGATCTCCACCAGACTTTCTCCCACTACATCCCAGATTTCTCGATATAGCTCAGACGGTAGCCCATCATTACCCGATGCTTTGCCTTTTGACATTGCTTTGAGAGCCGCATAAGCTTCTTCATTCGTTATTGGTATGTCCAAATCAAGCCTACCCTGTTGGGAAAATCTTAAGTCTGTGTTTTCCCAATGGGTGTTGCCTTCATGCAGATCGGCTACTACATCCCGACCTTGCGTACGGGATGTCAATATATCTCTATAGTAGAGAGACGCATAGTTGCACAGTCCAATCAGATCGGTTGCAACTGCCACTTGCTTATCGAACGGGTGTGTTAATTCAGTCATGGAAACATAAGTATTGCTTGGCGTCAATCTCTGGAACGACTCTCTTGTCATGCGGTCATAGATCGCTATCCCTTTTATTCTCAGTCTATCGCCCATATTTTCGATTTCTTTATTTGAAGTTCATTTCATTCCTTCATCAACCTGACCCTTTCCTTTTCCCAAACCTTATTCGAGATTGGGTGTTTCCCCATTCTTTCCTCCGCGTAAGTTATTTTTCGTTTTAGTGTTATTTCTTGTTTCTTACGTTCCCAAGCTAGGATCCGTAAGAAAACGTTCAACTGATTTGAGAAAATCGTCACCCCCGCATCCCTCCATTTATCTAGCGTTGGGTATTTTTTCCTCGCTTCCCCCCAATCCCTCCAAAAGTCCTTCATCCACTTTCTTAGACCCGGTTCTTCTAAGTTCTGTGTGTTCAGTCTGAACAATCCGCATCCCCTCCTTATTCCTTCTGTATTGACTATCATGCCTACCGTTTTATGATCTGAAAAGGGACGCGGGGCCTCCTCAATATTGACTAGCAATTTCCAGAGATTTGCTGACAGCAGAAAGAAGCCAAGCCTCCTTCTTATAATTTCCCCGTCCGGTCTTGGGTTAGAGAACCATGTAAAGTCTGGTTTATCAGGGTGAGTCAGTATGTATGGGTCCACTAGCTCGAACTCATCCATCACACTAACCAGTGCATCCTTATCTGATGCTTTCCCCTGACCCGTTTTCGTCATATCCAGTTAAATATTCAAGTCCCCTGTCAACACTAATCTCTCGCAGTCCGGAACAATAAATGCCAACTCGTTCAGGAATTCGGTTCGTTCTTTTTGGTCATTCGGGGCATAAACCGTCGCTATCAGCCATTCCTCACAATCAATTTCTAGCTTTACCCAGCCCATCGACCCCACAAATTTGCATAGAAGTCAATAATTACCGCCTCAAGTCTTCTGTGTATCAAAATACCAACCCCCCCTCTTGTTCCTTGCGCTGGAGACCACAGTTGCGGTCCATCCCACCAACTTCCTAGCGACTGTAACTTCTCTTCCCCTAACTTGGTCTCCTGCAGACATATCACCTAAAAGCCGTGTTCGTGAATCCATGACCTTAACCTCTCCCTTTTGAACCTTCCCCTCGTATCACCCAAGCCCCAAACATTCCACGTTGCTAACTTAACCCTACCCATTAGCCCCCTTGGCTCCTTCCGATTGGATCAAGGGGTCAGTATGAAGCTATGGTCTCGTCAAGTGTGCTCGAAGGAATTGCGAGGGGAGCTTCTTTTCAACGGGAAGCTTTCTCTCAATATCCACGAGAAATTCGGTCGTCCTAAACGGAGGGACTCTTACCCGGCTTAATTCCTGTTTCTTCTTTTCAATCAACCACGCAACAGGGAGAAATCGCATCCCTTCATCTCTTTCCAACATTTCAACTTGTCCGGCTACAAATCTCACGTCCATCAGGGGGTTGAAGAATTTTACCTTTTTTCCATTCTCCGGATTATCCACGATCAGCCTGGGCATCATCAAGTCCGACACCAATCTGAAAGTGAACTTATCTGCGATGGCCGATTGTACTGTGTTTGCTATCACTGTCGGCGTTGACGATTCCGGGGATGGAATCGATAAGACATTTACAGTCCCGTCTTGCAGCTCCCATGCGAGGAAGTGGAGATGACCATTGACTAACGTGCAGAACAACGGTAGAATACACGGTTCGATCGAGTCTTGTTGCCCTTTTGCGACTGAAACTGGTACCCTCTTCCTTGTGATTTTTGTTCCCGATGTTCCTACTGCCCCATCCGGCGTCGATGATTCTGATTTCTCTCCCCCAATCGCTGAGGCCGTACTACCCTCCCAACTTAACCTTCTCTGTTTCCCTGGAGTCCCTTGGGTCGATCTACTCCTCCCTTCCATCCTTGTTCCTCCTCCTTGGCTGGTCGTCCGGTTTATACCGGTTCCTCGGAATTGTGAGCACTCGCCTTGGAGTCTTGGTATTCCCTCCGCACCTCCTAATCCTTGCGTTCTCTGTCCTGGGCCTCCTTGCTCTTGGCCACGCTCATTCCCTTCTCATCTCGTTGTATCTCTCACAGTCCTCGGCTCTGAATTCTCCCCTCTTGAGTTACTCCTTCCATATCCCGTTTCCGACGGCCTCCCCCCGTGTCCATCTTGCATTCCTGTATGCCCCCCTGGACCCATTCCTTCTCCTCCAGCATGTGCCCTCAGGCCCATCATGCCTTGCGCTCCTTGCGCCTCTCCCCCTCTCGAGCTTTCTCCTCTGCTTGTTCCTCTGCAATTCCTGCTTTCCATGACTCCTCCCCCCGGGAAACTTCCTCCATGACCGTTTCCCATCGCCATCCCTCCGTACCCTCCGTACAACCCTGTGTATCCTGTTGAGCCATTGGCTCCTATTCCATATCCGGATCTCTCTTCCGGGATGAAATGTGGGACGCCATATCCTCCTTGTGGTACTGGATAAGTGCATCCTGGCGGAATTGGCCATGGCCCGAAGGCCGATAACGCTTGCTGAATTAGACTGGCTTGGTTGAGGTTCGCCGTGCTCTGAAATGTTCCTCCTCTGTTCCTTGGTGAAAACATTCCGTTGTTGTAGCTATGGGTTGCCCCATGGTCCTAAACTTCTTCTGACACGCTCTGTCCAGGTTCCTCCGCTCCTTAACCCGGCCTTAATGGACCCGAGTATCCTGGCTGTCCTCCAGAGGATCCTTGGGGGTCGCCTTGCCCCCCTTGCGAATTCCCTTGATTTTGCCTGTTCCGCCTACACTGCGATTCCTCATGGAAAAAGGCTCTACACCGCCTGCATCTTGGAGTCTCCGATGACGCCAGTTTCACTATCAGTGTGTCGCCCTCAAAGGTAACAACCGAAAGTTTATCCTTCATATTTGGCCTTGCCGCTGGCTCTAGATCAAACTTGATATTGATCAGAGAGGGTTTTTGACGGTCCGGTTCTGGAGGATGAGCGAGAATAACAGGACCGATGGCCTTCGCCACTTGTGCTTCTAAGTAAAGCATCGCTCCCAACGGCACTTGAACCGCTATTACCCAGAAGTTCGCCTCTTCCTCTTGACGACGTTGCTCCTTTAGTTGGGCTTGGGTGAGCCATGATTTGAACTCCAACACATATCTCGTCGTCCCCAATACAACTTCGTCCCTTCCTTTCTGCAATAGCCATTCCTTAATCTGCGAGCTCTTTGCCACGTATGAGACTACGTTCGGGCTTTCCACTTTGACTCTGCCTCTCCGAAAAGTTGACGGGTCGAACGTGCCGTCTTGCAATCGGTCATCTTCATACGCTCTGACCGCGTCATCTTTTATCTTCTTCGGAAGAAACCGTGCTCCTTCTCGAAAGATCATTGTCACCGTGTGATCTTTGAGCCATTGAACTTTTGTTCTATCGATCCTTGTGTTGACCCTGAAGGTAACTTAACGTCCATTGACTGTCATCTCCCCCGGGTTAATTGACCCTATGAATATACCTTCATCGTAGCAGAGTCTTGCGAGTTCTCTTATCCGATCCTCATCTTCCTCCATCGGTTGATCTGGTGCTGGTGGTGGGGAGCGAGCCTCTCTACCTGGCGCTGTTTCCGCCATCTCTTATGTTTCGCCTTGCGTTTGCAAAAAAAACAAGCTCGGGTTGATGGCAACCCTAAATAATTTAACCTCCTCCGACGTTTGCAGCTAGTTCTACTCCCGATTGCTTCTTTCCTCTTCACGTTCACACACACTTACTATGTTCGAGTCCTCATGTTTTCTCGGGGTCCGGCTACCGCATGTCTGCGGGTAGCCCCTCCATGGCTGCCGCCATGCCCGATACAACAAAGGTATGGTGACGGGTATACCTCAGGCGCTATCTTGCTGGTAGCCTCCTTCGTCAGAACACTCCTACCGTTGCCGGGGGAGCGCGGCTGGTCCGAGCGCAAACATTTGCGCCAGAGGAGCCGCACCTGTCCAGGCCCTCTCGTCTCGTGCTTGGAACCTACGCTTTCAGCGAGGCCCAAAATCCTCCTTTCGGATTCTGAAGTCATTTTTGAAAATTAATAAAAAAATGAATAAGGAATTTGTGGCATTTTCCCACCCCCCGGGGTCAACGGCCCTTCGGGCCGCTGACAAAAGGGTTCACGAAGAACTCGGAATAAGCATATTGCGAAAATGTGGATGTCGGAAGATTAGAGGCCGGCGGCGGGGAAGGGCCAGTAGCGCTATTCCGCTGCACTAGCCTTGCGCTATTCGAGGCGAGAGCGGGTTTCTCCATCTTACCATCCAAACGGAAACTTCCTACCAAGGAAACAGACGGTCATGGTGATCTAGGTTTCAATGCCTAGTTTTCACCATCGCAGGCCAAGTAAGGAGCAGGGTTCGGGGTCATTGGCCATGGTCGAACCATAGGTTTTGGCCCATAGCCCGAGATAGTACAGGATGGACTAAAGGGATAAGTGTGTGAGGAGCTTCGCGGCAGAGAGTGGCTACACGTGGAAGGAGCGCATCAATGAGAGGTGAAGATCAGATCGCAGCCGCCCAGAAGGGAGTTTCCCCAACGAGCGGTTTTGAGGTAAATACACGACACGTCAAGCAACCTTTTTCCCTACTTATTCAAGGGTAGGAGTAGGATGGGGCTAAAAGGCAGGAGGAAAGTAACACGGAGGTAAGTACGTATCTGTATAGAAGAAATCAGAAATGTATCTCATGGTATATTCACTGATTCAGCGCTGGCCGGAATGTTTTACTACAGAAATGACTTCCTCTCGTTTCCTTCTGCCCTTTACACCCATGGCCCTTACTCCGTAATTCCCTCGAATAAACAGGGGTTAGAATACTCGCCTCCGCAGTACAGAAAGGACCAGATTCAAGACCAAGACCAAGCATCTCGGTCTGGCCGTCGAAACCAGGAGAGCTGGCAGCTGCCTGCACGGTAATTTCTCCACATTCCCTGCTTAGTCAAGGGATGGAGTTGGATATGGCCAATAGGCAGAAGGGAAGAAGTACGGTGGAAAGCACGACTCGGTGAAGAAAGAATCCGGAGGTATTTAACGGTAGATTCACTGAGCCAGCACTGGTCGAATCTTTCTTAGTACAGGGAAGATGCTCTTTCTGCCTGCCCCATTTCTTTCTGCCCTCTACACCCATAGCTTTTTATCCATAGATCCTCCGTATAATCAAGGGACGGACCTCTCACCTCCGCCGTAAGGGAAGGACGTTTCATCAGAACCAAGATCAAGCACCCCGGAAGGGGCCGTTGGCGCCAGGGGCGCTGCCAGCGGCCAACGAAGACCGTAGGTTCATGGGCCTTAGCTGCACCCATGGCCTTACTGTCTTTATACGAATGAGCATTGGAGGATAAGGAAAGACGTGATCCAGTTGGTAGAGGAGGTCTGACCCTCAGATCCGGAGACAAGGAACGAGTTTCTCCCGTTGTGTCTAGTCGGTCCCCCGGCTCACGTGGGAGACGGGCATGTGGATTATATCCAATCCCTACGGTTTGAAGCTAGATCTCTTGTTCTAGGTCGTGCGTCGCAGGTGCTTTTCTGTCTTCTTATTGAAGCACAAGTTTATCGTGATGCCACTTGAAGTATACATGTTGTAGATCAGCTTCACGAAAAGCCCCTAGAGGGACGCTCTAATCCCTGATCGATTGCACATTTCCTCTGTCAGTATGGCTGATCCTCCGCCCCCTAATTCAGTACCGTTGTCTGAAGCAGAAAAAAAAAAGAATCAGGGGGGTGATAGAGGAGTGTTATGCCAAAGGAATTATGCCTGATGAGTTCGCTCCAAGCATGCAGTCTCTGTGCAATTCGAAAATGATGCCTCAACATTACCTCCTTCGGTGAAGAACCGCCTAGTACGTATATATGAAGAGGGATGGGCTCTTACACAGAATTTTGGAATAGCTCCTAAAAGAGGAGTGTTCCGGTGTGATGGCAAGAATCTGGTCACACTGCATACGTGGCCAGTGCCAAATTCATCGCCACATGGATGATCCGTAAAGGATCGGACCTCATAGAGCTTGATGGGAAAAAATACACAGTCCATTTCATAAGATGGATGAATGAAAATGAGTTGTATGAGTGGAATGAGGCCCAGAAGCAACGGTACTGCTGGATAAAAGCCTTGCATGTTCCTATTTCCATTTTACCCCACATCAAAGGGGAGATCCAGAAAGCTTTCGGAAGAATCCTAAAAGCCCACGATGCCTTCGCAGATCCCATATCCCCAGACCTTTGGAACATCAGGTTCGACATGGAACCTGCATCACGAGTCTGGTACAAGCAGCATTTGATAATCGATCTCATGGAGGATGGATGGGTAGATTTGAACGTTGCATGCGCCGACTCCACCTGGTGCAAAAGATGTCGGAAGTATTTCCACTCAGAGGAGGATCCGGATTGCCCGATCAAACAGAGAACGGCGGCTGGGAAAAGAACATATAAGGAGATAGTCGCTAGTGACAGCCCAAAAGGAGACAAAGCCACCCATAAAGCAGGAGGGGGTTCGGAACCCAGACCGCCAAAAAATGGGAAGGCTTTCAACGAGCGGGACAAGCGCCCGCTCCAGAAGCCTGCAGGGGAGAGAAGGGAGAAACCCATTGAAGAGGTATCCTCTGATGGTGAAGACTCCGGTTCAGAAATCAGACTAAATGTCTCTCGTCAGCGGAACCAGAAGCACCCTGCCATGGCAGCAAGGGCGGATACTTCAGCCTCAGATAGAAAACTCAGAATTAAAAATGCTTCCAGAAAAAGAAAAACGAAGGTTCTCTCATGGAGAGAGAAGAAAGGAAACAGAGTCAATTTTGTGCCCCCTAATTCTTCAAACGACTCATCTAAAACAAAAGAATGGGTTGGACGGGCGAGGAAAAAAAAGATGAAAGGGTAAGAGGAGGGAGCCCCTCGGACACCCAGCCAGTTGGGAGCCAGGGATCAATGGAGATGAAAATCTCCTCCTCGCAAGACTCCCCCCCCCCCCCCCCCCCCCCCCCCCCCCCCCCCCCCCCCCCCCCCCCCCCCCCCTAAAGCCCACCCCCCCAGATATTTTCGACTCACTTAAAGACAAAGTGGAGGCGGCCTGCATGGGCTTCCCATCCCCCAAGGGGACTAAGAAAACCTTCACAGACAGGCTGTCCCATTCGCAGGCAGGAAATGGGGAAGGAGATAAGGAGAGTGGAGACCAGCCCCCCAAGGAGGGGCCGGCTAGGGAGGAAAAGGACTCAGCACCCCCTTCAACCACACTCCTATTCAAGGCAATGCCAGCCAACAAGGCCCCCCAGGGAGCAAAGAAAAAAAAAGGGACCAAAGCCAACAGGCCCCCCAAGGCCGTCAGCCCGGTCGCTGGGCAACCAGCAAACAGGGTACCTGCCAAGCGTCTGAAGGCCAATGACGAATCTGCGATCCCACAAAACAGCCACCGCCCGGAGGAGGAAGAAGAAAGAGAGACCTCCCCATGCCGGAAGAAAAGAACACTCCAGGAGAAACAGGAGAAGAAAGCTCTCAGCCTTGCATTGCCAATGAGAACACTGTCACACAAGGACAGAGTTAGCAGGAAGATTACACAGCTTTTGGTCCCCATGATTTGTTCGAAGGTCTCGTCAAAGGCGGAAATTCTGTGTGTACATGACGCTGAAGGAGGACAGAGGCTCCCCTTCGTGGAGG